TATGTATAGCTGATTCATTTTGTGAATAAAACAGAAACACACCATTGTAAAGCAATTATACTCCAATAAAGATGTTTTAAAAAAAGTGTTTTCACCAAAATCTTAATATAGTTTGTCTATGGGGAATAAACAATAAAAATGTTCCTGGTTTGTAATAAAAAAAAAAAAAATCCAGAATGAAGCCATTTATTTCCAATACATTAAAATCTATTTGTGTATCCTTTCTTTTTAGTCTTTTTGTAGCTTGTGTCTGTTTCTAATAACCTATGCCTGTTAGGCTATTTTATTTAAAATTATACTATCTTTTGGAATTCCATTAAAATGAGTACATTTCTCCCCATTGAAAAAAAAATATATTGGTTATAAAAGGACCGTTGTGGAGTATAGTGTTGAGGCCACTGTCTAGTGTGAAAACCTGAGCTTGAGAGAGTGTGGTGTTGTGTTTGAGCACAGTTTCTTGGCCAAGTTTTGTTATTAGGATTACAGTACCTTCATAAAATGAGTTTTTAGATTTTTTATGTGAAATAGTCTCTATAGCATGGGAATTTTCTGTTCTTTAAAAGTTAGAAAAAAAATTATTTACAAAATTGTCCCCCCTCCCCATATTCTTTTTGGAGTTATTCCTTGAGTAGTTTTTTCTTTCTTATTGGATAATTCAGATTCTCTACTAAAAAAAGAAATTTATAAAAATCAATGTATATTTTCAAGAAAATTAACTGTTTATCTTGAGATTTTCAAATTAATATTGTGCACACTATATTCTCTTATAATTCTTGTTCTCTAGATCTGTTGTGATATCCTTGTTCTATTTTCTTTATTCATTTTATTCCTTTTTCTTGCTTCAGGAGGTTTGGCTGTGGTGCCAGTCATTTGCCTGTTTGTCCTCAGATCCATCCTGGCCCCGTACCCTGCTTGCTGCATTTCCCAGGCTCCCTTGCTGACAAGCTCCTGCCAGGTTTGGTCCATGGCACAGGCAGGATGTTGAAGGGTGGAAGGAGAGAAGCCTGGGGACTTCTTTCTCTGTACTTCCTGTAGTCTAGCTGTTTGCAGTCTCAGATCCTGCACGGCCCCAGCCACAGCCAGGCAAGATCACTGTGCTCAGTTCCCACTGGGAGGCCCCATTCCTGGGCTCTGGGCAACACACCCACCACCTCCTTTAGGGCCTCACCTTCCCTTGCATCCTCTTTCAGATTCCACATAATGAAATTCCCTCCACTGAATTATCTGGTGTGGATTCAGTCTTCCTGGCTGGACCATGACTGACTGATGTATCAGTATTTTTCAGAAAAGTAGCTTTTCTTCTTTTAAAGTTTTTTTTTTTTTTTTTTTTTTTTTAATTTGGCTGCGTTGGGTCTTCGTTGCTGCCCATGGGCTTTCTCTAGTTGTGGCGAGCGGGGGCTACTCTTCGTTGCTGCTTGTGGGCTTCTCATTGCGGTGGCTTCTCTTGTTGCAGAGCACCGGCTCTAGAACGTGGGCTTCAGTAGTTGTGGTTCATGGGCTTAGTTGCTTCAATGTGGGATCTTCCTGGACTACGGCATCCCCTGCATCGGCAGGCGGATTCTTAACCACTGCGCCACCAGCGAAGTCCCTAGAAAAGCAGCTTTTCAATTCATGTATCAATTCTACTATTTTCTAAATTATTCATCTCTTTTACTTGGTGAAATAATATAGTTTAGCCAGTGCTATGCTGGTAATCCAACTCTCTTGAAAAAAAAAATCCCTGATTTGTCATATAGGTTTCCTCTTCTATCTGAAAGCAGAGCGTTCCTGTGAAGCTTAAGCCGAAATGGCGCACAGCAAAGAAGAAATTACCTTTTTCTGGAAATGAATCTATAGAATCAGTTCTCATGGGGCAATGGAGGGGAAGAAAAGGATTAGAAAGAAGACTCCAGACGATGGTAAGAAGGATCACATCTTGAGTCTGAAATTGTTTAATTACATCTCTCCAAAATGTAATGCTCGGGCTTCCCTGGTGGCACAGTGGTTGAGAGTCCGCCTGCCGATGCAGGGAACACGGGTTCATGCCCCAGTCCAGGAAGATCCCACATGCCACGGAGCAGCTGGGCCCGTGAGTCATGGCTGCTGAGCCTGCGCGTCCGGAGCCTGTGCTCCGCAACGGGAGAGGCCACAACAGTGAGAGGCCCGCATACAGAAAAAAAAAAAAAAAATGTAATGCTCATTCATTACATTTGTTAAATTAATTTAAAAAAATCATTTCATTGAAAAAATTATTAGGTTTTTCTTACTTCAAAATAATTCCTAAATGCTATGGGTCAAATTATACCCCCTCCCACCCTCATAACCCCCAATGTAACTGTATTTGGAGATAGAGCTTTTAAGAGGTAATTAAGGTTAAGTGATGTCATAAGGGTGAGGCTCTAATCTGAAAGGACTGGTGTCATAAGAAGAGGAACAGAGACAGGGCTTTCTCTGCAGGAGCACAGAGAAGAAGAGGTCATGTGAGCACACAGCAAGATGGTGGCCACCTACAAGCCAAGAGAAGAGGCCTCAGGATGAAACCCACCTAGCCAGCACCCTGATATTGGACTTCCCAGCCTCCAGAACTGAGAGAAGTAAATCTCTGTTGTTTTAGACCCCAGTCTGTGGCATTTTGTTATAGGAGCCCAGCTGAAGAATACACCAAGTAGGCCCAACTGAGAGCCAAAAAACCAGAGCCCACAACAGTCAGTTTGTTTGGGGTGATGAAAAGTTTTGGAAACTAATAGTGGTGCTGGTCATGCAACATTATGAATGTAATTAATGCCACTGAGTTGTACACTTAAAAATGGGGAAAATGGCAAATTGTTAGATATATTTTACCATAATCTTTAAAAACTAATAAAGTAGTATACCAAAACCCATTAAATTGTACATTTTAAATGGTTGAATTGTATGGTATGTGAATTATATCTCAAAAAGCTACTTTTAAAAAAGATCAGAGCCCAAACTGACTAGTAATCACATAATTTCAACAAGAGAATTGCTGAAAATCCTTTAACAAATGTGACAGTGAGGAATCACATGCAGGTACACTTTCATATTTGCTACGGGCCACCAAAAAGAAATGTCCTTTGGGCCTACTCCCCTGGGGGGCAGGGGTTGGAAAGCATCACCCTGGTGAAGGCTGTGTTCCAGTGAGAACCGCCCAAGAGGAGGGTGGCCAGTCTCTGCCTGAATGCCAGCTGCAGGTGGTACTGATGAGAATGCCTAGCTCCCCACCCTGGCTGTTACCACCTTTAAAAACAGCTGCCCCCAAAGAACTAAGATGCTCCTCTGTACCTTCTGAATTGTGTAAGAACTAAGATGCTCCTCTGTACCTTCTGAATTGTGTACCATGTAACCTCTAACAGCTGTTCAAGGAACTAAGATGCTCCTCTGTACCTTCTGAATTGTGTACCATGTAACCTCTAACAGCTGTTCAAGGCAAAAATGTTTTAAAATTTGGCAATTTAGTAGATAAAAATGGCATAACCTTATTTTAATTGCTATTTCCTTAATTGCTACTGGGGTTGACTTTTTTCATGATTATCTGTCACTATACATTTTCACTTCTGTAGAAAAGTTCACAGAACCTGTTTACATTCGTTGGCTCTTCAGATTCCATGACGTTGTGAATGCAGACAGGGGTAAAATGCTGCCATTTTACATTTGGGGGAAATGGGGCTCCCAGATCTAAGAGTAGCTACGAAATCTTTATTGTGCCATGAATCCTACCAGTTATTATTATTATTTTTTTATTATTTATTTGGTTGTGCTGGGTCTTAGTTGCAGCAGGTGGGCTCCTTAGTTGTGGCTCGCAGGAGCCTTAGTTGCAGCACATGGGCTCCTTAGTTGCGGCAGGCAGGCTCCTTAGTTGTGGCATGCGAACTCTTAGTTGCAGCATGCATGTGGAATCTAGTTCCCTGACCAGGGATTGAACCCGGGCCCCCTGCATTGGGAGCGTGGAGTCTTAACCACTGTGCCACCAGGGAAGTCCCCTTACCAGTTAGTTTTAAATATGTTACTTCTAACTTTCCCAACAGTCCTGCCAGGTAGTTATTACCAGTCTCATTCTACAAATAAAGAAACTGGGACTGAGAGGCTGGTTAACTTGCCCACAGCCACTCAGCTGGTAACAGGGCTCTGTGGTCACTTGAAGCTTGAATCAATATCCTTGCTACACAGCAGCTTCCTAGGGCCTGGGCGGAAAGATGCTGGAGTCAGTGGGCAGCATGGAGGTCCACCCAGTCCCATACGTGCAGAGAGGCATCACTTGCTGCAGACAACAAAGTCCTCGGTTTGCAGGGGTGCCAGGTGTGGGTGGTGACCAGTGGAGCAGTGTCCATCCCATTGCCGTCTAGGAAGATGTGACCTTTGTGAGTGAAGAGAGGTTCTACTTGGCGCCCCATTCCACCCCAAGACGTGACGTCATAGACCTGGACCGTCCCATCAAAACCTGAGGAAGAACAAGAAAAGCGAGCATTGACACTGAATCTCTGAATGCTCTACAGAACCAGAACAGGCTAGAGGATGATGAATCAAATAGCCACAAGATACTTAAAGGCCAACTGAGGGAATTCCTTGGCGGTCCAGTGGTTTGGACTCTGCGCTTTCACTGCTGAGGGCACGGGTTCTATCCCTGGTCGGGGAACTAAGATCCCACAAGCTGCGCAGTGCAGCCAAAAAAATAAATAAATAAAATTAAAGACCAACTGAAGGGCACGTAACATCTGCCGTCAATGCCGGCGGCTGATGACTCCAAGGAGCATATAACAATAAGCATCTGTTGTCCACCTATCAAGTGCCAGGCCCAAGGCTAATCTTGCATTCTCTCTTTTAACCCTCACAACTGTATGAAGTAGGCACTATTATTTTCCCCAAGAAACGGAGGCTTTAGAGACTTTTCAAACCTCTTCCACTTGCCCCCAAATCTAATCCCTCCACGTGTGAGTCCCTCTCAGCAGAGGGCCTTGTCTCCTACTTGATGGGGGAAAGAGAAGCCTTTAGAGAGAACAACCCAAGCCTGGTTCTGCTCTTCTGCTCTTTCTGGATCCTGCCGTGACCAAGGACCCTCTCCTGCTCTCTCAACTATTCTTTCAACCTCTCCCCTCCGTCAGAGGATCCTTCCATCGGCTTTCAGATACCTCATTACACACCCTCATTCAACTAGATACTGCCGGGCCAGACCCAGGAGCCTGCTGACCTAGCTAGCTTGCTGTAGTTCTAAAAGCGAGTAGACTGAGCGGCACCGCTGAGACCCTATCGCCTCTCCCTGGTGCAGCCTGTGGCTGTCCTAGTGTCTTACCATCCGCAGCCTCTCCACCAACCTCAGAACTGAATTCCTGCTGCGACAGGAAAGGCCTGCTACCAACGTGGGGAAGTCTGTAGCCAGGATGTGGAAGGGCCACCACTAAAGAACCTGGAGAGCTAACATGGAGCTTTTCTGTGAGCAACCTTAACTTCTGGGGCCAGATTTACTACAGGACTACGGGCTCCTTCCTGAGCACCCAAGAGTCCCCGGAAGAGAGAGATCAAGTGACAGACACAAAATCCTCTCAGCGTACCTGAAATGGCCAAGCAGTTGTCCAGGCCTGGAGCCCAAGTCACTCGCAGCAGCTCTGGGTCAGGGCTAGGCATGGACACTGGGCACTGGACCAAGCTCACCGGCTGGCAGAGATCCCGGGGGTCAAGAAGACAGAGCTGCCCGTCCGAGCCAAGGCTGGCAATGCTGGGCCCAGGGCCCCGGCCCCCAGCTTCTGCACACCACCTCCCTCCAGCGGACCCAGAGCCGGGCCTGAGGTTCTCTGACGGGGTCCACTTCTGGCGAGTGTCGACAAGCCCCAGGCGGCCCGAGGTGCAGCAGAAGGCAAAGGTGTCTGCGTCCAGGACCTGCAGGCTACTCAGCAACTCGTCGTCACTGACACCTGGACGATGGGGCGAGAGGAGAAAAGTGGCTGCAGTCAAATGGGTCCAGTAGTTTGGCGCCGTTGGCTGGTCCAAGCCCCTTCCTCTGGGCAGCTCCCCACCAGCCCCCGGCCGAGTGAACCACATCCTGCCGCCTTCTCATCTCACACGGTCCGCCCGGCTGGTTGGGTGCCGGTCCCGGGACTGCCTTCCCCAGCCCCAGAACAGGGGCCCCCAAGGCCTGGCCCTGCCTCTCACTCATCTTGTTTCCCCAGCAGCTGGCACACAGGGTTGGATTCGGTTTCCAGCGTGGCTGGGTGGGGCTGGGAGGAGCCGGCAAGGGGCTGAGGTACCTGAGCTGTAGGTGGTCTTCTGTGATTCCAGATCCACCACCTTCAGACTGCTGAGCCTGGCCCCGTGGAGGACTCCGGGCGCCGCCGACGAGAAGATGGCCATCCTGGGCCAGAGACGCCCTTCCTTCTCGCGCACATCAATGGTGCTGACGGCCTTAATGACATCTGGGGGAAGATGGAAGTGGCTGAAGTCCAGAATGTTAATGCAGGTTTGAAACATTCCATGGTGAAGGCCTGCTAGAAGGTCAGGGGAGACAGGGCCTCACGGCTGGTGAGAGAGGATGTGGAGACATCATCACTGTGCGTTGTGTTTACTTTTTGGAAACTGTCAGAAGCACTGTCGTTTCTCTGTAATTTGTCTTATGAACTGTTTTGCAAATGGGAGACAATGAATCATAGCAGCCATCTCAAAACCTCCCCAGCAGTTCTGGCTTTTTATAGTTTTGCGGAGAACAAATAAAGGAAGAGAAAAGGAAAGAACACGCTGATGATGTTATTTACACCTTAACTGGAAATAACAGGAACGGAGTTCATGAAGTAATATTATTTCTTCAAAAACATGTCCCATGACCTCAAGCAATTGGCCGAATCCTAACAGGTCAAGGTTATAACACAGATGTCTTTGTCTTCAAACGTAAACAGGGCAAGAAAGTCCACATCTTTTTTACACTGAACGTTAAAAAGACATACTTGCCCTCAGGTTAAATCAAATTTTAGCTTTGTTCACCTCAGTCTGCTTCGACAGCAGACAGGTTCCCATCTCTGCATTCTCCATTTATAACATAGTTCACAACAAGTAGTTTGCTGTACAAACTACTTAAAGGGAGATGCATATTTTCCATTTTATATTTTCTTGCTCCAAGAGGGAGCTCACTGTTTGGTTTCACATTCTCTGAAGAAAATGGAGATCTACGTATTTTTAAATTCTAGAGGATAGGTAAGAGGATGAGGAAGGGATGGATGAGAGAAGGAACACTAACGCGGCTTATCAAGCGAGCACGTGGCAGTCAGTTCCCTGGAGACAGTTCACATACAAGGAGTCACAGAAGGTGCGGCCAGGCTGGGCTAGGATGCAGAGGCCCCTTGGGTCCTGCTCCCCAAGCCACAGACTCTCAGTGCACTTTGTCTAGACTTGCTGAACATAATTGCTCTACCCTAGGAGCCGCGGAGGTCGGAGCAGACACAACAGCTGAGCCTCAGGACCGTGTGTCTCCGAGGAGTGCCAGTGAGGCTGCGATTCAAACCAGCCCAGCACAGCTTGCCTCACTCCCCCAGGCCCCACTTAAGCGGCTCCCTTTTCCCTTTCCAAAGACTTAGGAGCCTGGAACAGATTCCCCAGGACCTGCTGCTCTGAGCCAGGGCTGGTTCTCAGGTGTGATTTGTCCCCTGACGGCGGGGAAGGAGGAGGTCAAGGAATAGCCTGCAAAGACCTATTTCAAAGATGCCGTAGAAAACAAAGGCTTCAGAGCTCCTCCTGACTGGAGAGTTGTGCTCCGTAGTTACAACAGGAAAGCAATGCAGGTTCCTCCTCATCCCCTCTCTTGTCAGTGTTAAAATGCCCCCTTTAGGAAATCCACACCAACTAGCCAAACGAAAAGAAAAACTACTACAAAATCAAAGCAAAAGATGCAGTGAGGCACCTCCAAGAACTGGGCAATAAAAGAAAGAAGGCTGTCTGAAGATTAAACCAACAGAACAGGTCGGAGCTGCAGTGGGCACACTCCTTAAGGAGTCAGAATGGCTCCACACCTGCAGTACTGAGCTAACGTATTACCACGTCTAAAGGAAAAGTGGTGCCCATGAGAGGGGGCTGTTCTGCCACAACGGCAAAGAAAATGCTGGGGCCCGTCCACGGCAGAGAGAGCCACTCCAGACTGAAGTTAACTTCAAAGGAGAGGCTGCGGGAGACATTCAGCTGAGGCTGTTAGGTATGTCTCCACCTAAAGACCTTCTCAGTGGACTCCTCAGCCCCAGAGCTGAGAGGAGAGGCCACAGGCCCTCCCTCCAGGGGCCTGGAGAGCCAAGCCTTCACAAGTTCTATACCCTCTGCCTAAGAGAGCTTATGAAAACACCATTTGGAAGCCTTGGAGCTGATTCCTCTTGTTATGGTTATGTTTACCATGCAGGCTTTGACTAGGTTAGGTCTTCTATAGGAAAAGAATAAGGATCTGGAATATTCCACTTTTAGGGACACTTATTTTTTCATTATAAACTAATAAATCTGCGTTCTGGTTTATACAGCAGTCCTGTGAGTCTGGTGAGCGTGTCTGCCCCTAATAACAGATTAGATTTGTTCTGGGTGTGCTGACAGAATCAGGTTTCTGAGATACCAAAGCTGTGGGTCAAACCTGGACCTTGGAAAATTCACCAAGATAATGCTACATTTTTAGGCGTCTAGGAAAACAGCTGGCCAGCCTTCCCCAGATTCTGGAATATTCTGCACTAATATCCAGGGGAAGGTAACTATCTGATTTCCTACTCTCATATGAGTGTCAGAGCAAGTCTCCTTGGGCCTAGCTCTCCTGGGCCTGGGGCTACAGGTTCTATACGGCATCTGGTACCCCAGGCACCGTCAGGACAAAAGAGCTCCAAGGCGCCCCCCTCATCTTTAAACCATTGCTGCCCCACGCAGCCTATTTTTAGGGAAAGATAAAAAACAACTATAAGTTACTGACATAAGGATAGACATAGAGATCACTGGAACCGAACGGAGAGTCCAGAAATAAATCCTTATATTCACAATCAACTGATTTTCACCAAAGGCACCAAGGCAGGTCAGTGGAGAAAGGCCAGGCTTTTTGACAAATGGTGCTGGGACAACCAGACATTCATACGCAAAAAGATGAACTTAGACCCCTCCCTCATACCTACCATACACAAAAGTTAACTCTAAAGAGATCACAGACTTAAATGTTGGAGCTAAAACAATAAAACTTCTGGAAAAAACACTGGGGAAAATCTATGGATTAAGTAAAGATTTCTTAGATATAACACTGTTTTATTATTAAAACGGACCTCATCAAAATTTAAAACTTTTATGCTTCAAAGGACACTATTAAGAAAATGAAAAGACAGGGAGAAAATATTAACAAAACATATATCTGATAAATAACATGTATCTAGAATGTACAAAGAACTCTCACAAGTCAATAAAGACAAAACAGCCAATCAAAAACTGGGCAAAATATTTCATAAAATATAAGCACCAAGAAAGCAAGGAACATCTATGTGAGTGCTTGCTGTTATATCCCCAGAACCTTGCCCAATGCTTGACACACCGGAAGCACACAATGAATAACGACTAAATGATGAAATGTTAGCTACTGCTACAAATAACAGTAATAATAATAATAATTATTATAATTATAATATTATATTATATATTATATTATATATAATATATATTATACATTATACATTATATATTATATAATATATATTATAATTATATATATATTATAATTATAATTATTATAATAATAATTATTATTACTGTTATATTATATTACTGTTATAATTATTATTATTATTATGTGCCCTTTCATAAGTAGATCTTACTTCCAGGAACCAGATCTAAGCAAAATGGTGGCACAGACTATGTTGCCAGTCAGTAAATACCCTATGACCTTTTTTTCAGAGCCCCTACATACTATACTGAGATCAATTATTATTATCTAACTATAGTTACCACCAGGCAGAGTTATAAGCAGACTTTGAAGTCAGACTACATTTAAGTCTTGGTTCTGCAACCATCTTTGTGACTCTGAACAAGTTAGCCTCTCTGGGAAAGAGTTTGTTCTCAGACTTATGAGAATTTAATGAGATCACACATGGAAAGTGATTAGTACAGTGACTGGAATATAATATACACTCATTAATATTACTGTTACATCTTATAGATTGTTAATTAATCCGAACAAGTATCTATTAAAATGTACAGTGAAACTGGCATATCAAAGGCCCTGTGACAGCATGTTATCTCAGCCTGCTAAGGGGGAAAAAAATAACAACAAAACACCCTTAGGAAGATTTGAATAGGCATTTTACCAAAGATACATGAATGGCTAATAAGCATATAAAAAGATGCTCAACATTATTAGTCATTAAGGAATTGCAAATGAAAGCCACATGATATACAATTTCACATCCATTAGGACTGCTTTAATAAAAAAGACAGATAGGGCTTCCCTGGTGGCGCAGTGGTTGGGAGTCTGCCTGCCGATGCAGGGGACACGGGTTCGTGCCCCGGTCCGGGAAGATCCCACGTGCCGCGGAGAGGCTGGGCCCGTGAGCCATGGCTGCTGGGCCTGCGCGTCTGGAGCCTGTGCTCCGCAACGGGAGAGGCCACAACAGTGAGAGGCCCGCATACCACAAAAAAAAAAAAAAAAAAAAGACAGATAATAACAAATGTTGGTGAGGACACAGAGAAACAGGAACCCTCATACACTGCTGGTGGGAATGTAAATGATGAAGCCATTCTGGAAAAGAGTTTGCGAGTTTCTTAAAAAATCAAACAAACAAAAAAAAAATTTTTTAAAAATCAAACATAAGTTTACCACATGATCCAGCAATTTTATTCCTAATGTCTATCCAAGACATATGAAGACATAGGTCCACAGAGACTTGTACATGAATGTTCTTAGCAGCATCATTCCTAATAACCAAAAATCAGATCCATCAACTGGTGAACAGATAGACAAATGTGATACATCCATAAATGGAATACTGTTCAGCCACAGAAAGGAACAAACTGCTGATACACGTTATGACATTGTATGACAGGGTGGACCTCAAAAGTACTATGCTCAGTGAACGAAGCCAGATACAAGAGACCACATGTTGTATGATTCCATTGATATGAAATATCCAGAAAAGGCAAATCTATCATAGAGACAGAAAGCAGATTAGTGGTCGCCTGGGGCAGGGTGTGCGCATGGGGGTTAATCGTAATTGGCATGATGGATCTTACTGGGGTCATGAAAATATCCTAAAAGTGATTATAGTTGCACAACTTGTTAAATTTACTAAAAAGAAAAAAATCACTGAACTGTATACTTAAAACGGGTGACTTTCAATAAAATTATGAAAAAATAAACAATCATAACTACAAATAAGTATATACACACACCTGGAAGCTACAGCATAAGACAAGTGACAAGGAAGAAACAACAAAGGAAAGTCCACAGGGTCAGTGACCTCAAAAACCAAATGAGGACCAGAACCACATTCCTGCAGCAGTGAAGCTTGGGGAGAAGCCAACAGCTGCTACCGGTTTCTGGGAAGCATCCAAGTGAGGCAGAGGACCACACAAGCCAAGGGGCAGTTCCAAGAGCGGCTGCCTTTGCCTCTGAGGCCCGCTTCCATGCTGGTCAGCAATGCTCTAACCCAAGGAGGGATGGCAGGGGCTGGATCAGGGCTGCAGGCTTCGGTGCCTGCCTGACAGGGGAACCGCAAACCTCCTGCTGGAGGGGATACTATGAGGGAACTCCCCCGACTCCCAGAGGAACAGGACTAACGCTTCCTGCGCCTTTCCCAACTTTCCTGTTCCTGTTGGGCAGCAGAGCTATGTCTCTGAGTGGGAGACTGGTCAGCCCAGCCTTGTGCTCACTCACTGTTTTCCCTCCCTGAGAGCAGCATGCCTGCAGTGAGAGGTGACCTCCCTGCTGCCTTTGCTCTGCCCCTGCCTGGGGTGGGAGGGGCCCGAACTTCACCAGGTGCTCTGCCTCTGGCTGGGCTGGTAAACTCAATTCCTGAAGCAAGCTATAGGAAGCTCCACCTGGGGCTTGTGTGCACTGCTGTGGCTGCTAATTCACCTTTGCTGCATTAAAGTAGATACTGCATTTAAAAAAAATTTTTTTGGCCACACCATGTGGCATGTGGGATCTTAGCTCCCCGACCAGGGACTGAACCCGTGCCCCCTGCAGTGGAAGCACAGAGTCTTAACCACTGGACAGCCAGGGAAGTCCCAGTAGATACTGCATCTTAATTCCCACTGGCTCTGAGTCTGTTTCTTAACTGGCTCAGATTAGGGATTGGGGGTGTGAGAATAACAGGCTTTCCTACAAACCCAACCCCGCCGAGTCAAAGTCACTTACCGCTGTCCTCTGCAACCTGCCACACCTGCAGGTAACAACCGGGAAGGCCACTGGTCACCAGCAACCTATTCAGGATGGATAAGAAATCTCAGCCCAGACAGTGGGGAGCTCACCCATACAGCCCTCAGCCTCTCCCTCTCCAGCCCACTCAGCTTGGGATTCCTACACTCCCTGTATCAGGAGAGCTTACGCAGGGAGGGGGCATCAAGATCAGTCACCCTCATTTAACAGAGGAGGAGCAGGCTTGTTCCCCTTTAGGGACAGGTCCACAGCTCACAGAGAGTCGTGGGACTGAGCCCTGGCTTCCACGTGGCATGAAGTGTGCTAGAGGACCCAGCAGGGAGCCTGAACACAGAAGCCTCACCCAGAGGCTCTGGCCTCTGCCAACTGAGCTATTAGCCCCAACTACCCACCACCAGCTCTCTGAGAAGCTAAGAGCATCCCTTCTACTTTATATCTATTCCCTAGAGCAACGCCAGCAATCTGTGGGTTACCATAGTCAAGAGGTCTGTGAGGGACCGTAAAGCCACCGAGCACTGGTTTCTTTGTATTCCAGATCTGTGTGTGCACATGCCCTCCCATGTGCCCCTGTGCTGAGGTGGGATGGGGAGGGGTGGTGATAAAGATACAGGATACCCCTAAAGTTCCAGCCACTCCATCCTGAATGGAAGGTCTGGGTAACAGAGCTGACCATACCTGGTGTCTGGTACATACTTCAGATCAAAGACAGACCTGTCTGAAAATCCTCCATGGCGTACCTTGAAATCTCTTTCAGGGAATAAGCCCTAAAATACAAAGGGGTGGCCAGTCAGATAGGGGACCGCTCTCCAAAGGAACGTTTCAGACAAGTTCTAAGTAAGGAGCCATATCCCAGCCTGGCAGGAAGCCATGGAAGCCGCTCAGGTGGCAATGATGCTTCTCTGGGCAGGGCCTCAGGGTGCTGTTATTTGCAAATATTGGTCTCAGCTGCTCACACAGATAGCTTCCTTTCTTTCCTGCACATCCAAAACCTTTCTTCTAACCTTTCACCACAGCACAAGTGTTATATTCCAAGCCTTCTTAGAGGAGTCACAGAGGCTTAACAGAGAAAGGTGGAATGTATCAGCCAACTAACACAGCCCCATTCCTCCCCACACCTCGCACTGGAAGTTAGGTGGGTTCTTCCAGCAATAAAAATACAACTGCCAGGACTTCCTTGGTGGTTCAGTGGTTAAGAATCCACCTGCTAGTGGTTAAGAATCCGCCTGCCAATGTAGGGGACATGGGTTCGAGCCCTGGTCCGGGAAGATTGCACATGCTGCGGAGCAACTAAGCCTGTGCACCACAACTACTGAGCCTGTGCTCTAGAGCCTGCGAGCCACAACTACTGAAGCCCGCATTCTAGAGCCCGTGCTCCGCAACAAGAGAAGCCACCGCAATGAGAAGCCCACAAGCAGCAACGAAGAGTAGCCCCCGCTCACCACAACTAGAGAAAGCCTGTGCAGCACCAAAGACCCAATGCGGCCAAATAAATAAATAAAATAAATAAAATAATTAATTAAAAAAAATACAACTGCCAATTATCCAGTGCTCACTGTGTCAGCCACCCTGTTTATATGACCTGGGCAGTATAATTATCCCTGTTCTAAAATGACAAAGCCAAGGCATAGGGAGCTTAAGCAACTTTTCTAAGGTCACAGGGGTTACGTTATACATCTGAACCCAAGTCTGTCTAACCGAAGGCCATGCTCTTAGCCACTAGACTCTACTATCTCCACGTGAGGAACCAGAGGCAGGGGAAGAGGAGGTGGCCACAAGAGAACAGAGGGAAAGCCAGGGGTGAGGCAGGAGGTAAATCAGGTCTCTCATCAAGGCTCAATTTTGGTGAGCTCCTGACTCAGCTTGAGGGGTAGGGATGAGGAAGATCAAGAACATTAGGAAGGAAATTTACCCAAGGGCAATAAAGGCAGGACTGATCTAGCCAATGAGCCTGAGTGATTTTATAGTAACATCAGGCAGCTATCAACTCTTCGTGACACATTCTTATCTCTTGGCTTCTGGATCACTGGCCTTTTCTGAGACTCCTCCTACTTCAAAGACTATTCTTTGTCAGCACTCCTTGTGGCTTCATCATCTTCCTCTACCCATCCATTTCTTTTTTTTTTTTTCTGTTTTTTTTTTTTTTTTTTGCAGTACGCAGGCCTCTCACTGTTGTGGCCTCTCCCTGTTGTGGCCTCTCCCGTTGCGGAACACAGGCTCCGGACACGCAGGCTCAGCGGCCATGGCTCACGGGCCCAGCCGCTCCGCGGCATGTGGGATCTTCCCGGATCGGGGCACGAACCTGTGTCCCCTGCATTGGCAGGCGGAGTCTCAACCACTGCACCACCAGGGAAGCCCCTTTCTACCCATTTCTTAAGTGTTCTCCCTGATGTTCTGTCTTTAGCCATCTTCTCCTCTTATTCTTTATATACTACACATTCATCCTAGGTGATCTTAACCATTCTAAGGTTTCAACCACCCTTCATACTCTAATTGCTCCCTAAACTTTTTTTTTTTCCGGCCGTGTGGCACGGCTTATGGGATCTTGGTTCCCCGACCAGGGATCGAACCCAGGCCCCCTGCAGTGGAAGTGTGACGTCTTAACCACTGGACCACCAGGGAATTCCCCCTAAATCTATTCTTGATAAAGTATAATTGACTTCTTGCTCTAGAAGCCCTCTGTAAATCACAGGATTTTCTGTACAACTTACCTCTGTGCACATTTGCCTCCCTTTATTAGACTATAAGGGCAGGCCCAGGGCTTACAGTTTCTCTCTTTCTAGTATCCAGGACAATATTTAGTAGACAATAGGAGCTCCATAAAGATTTAATAAATGAGTAGAAGGAGACACATATACTCAGCATAAATATTTCAAGTTACCTGGTTTTCTTTTACAGAAAGTCTGAGAGGTAATATCAGATGAAGAATCTCATTTTTTTTCAGGCTTTCATAGCCAGCAACCAAGATTCCTGGAAAAAGAAGCAGAATAAGCTGTGACAAAGTGCTAGAAAGATTCTGGACCACAGCTGGGTCCAGACACTCTACCAAATCTCCCAAAGCAAAGACAAACTCTTCTGCCATTGGTATGCAGCCTTGTACTGAGGGATGGAAGAGATCTAGATCTTTCTTCATAAGAGAAATATAATGCTGACGGGGCATGAAATTGCTACAAGTGACCAAGAGGCCCTCAAGCTCCCAGAAGAGGGGTTGGGTCCCTCTGGGCTGAGCTCCTGAGTTCCAGCTTGAGGATTGGTTCTTCAGGGCCAGGCAGGGCACATCACCTTTGTCACCAATCCATTCAAGGACTCGAGTGGCTCCCGAGAGGTCGAATGCATGGAAATCCTGGTACCTGCATGATAGGGACACAACATCACACGATGCATTGCACTTTACAGCTGTTAAAGAACCTGAGATGTTAGCATGGTTCGGCAGTTGGGGGCCCAGGCTCTGGAATCAGGCAGAACTGGGATCAAGCCTTGTTACACATTTCATCCCCTGTGTGACTGGGGGCAGGCCAATCACAGTTTCCCTGAGTCTCGTCCTCATCTGTAAAATGGAACTCCTAGAGTACTCAGACTTCCCAAGGTTGACGTGAGGAATCGAGATAATCTTTGTTTAAGGTTTAACCCAGAGCCTGGCGCAAAATAAATAGTCACTTATGTTATTATTATCCTCCACAAGCACTGCCCCTACTAGTACTTCACACAATTTGCGCACACAGGAAGGTGCCATTTCCCAGCTGCGGGAGCCGAGGCCCAGGCGGAGTCCTCCGTACAGGTCCCGCCCCACATGCCGCGGGTTTCCTGCGTGCTCCATGCCGCGCCCGTCCGCCCCCAAGCCAGCTCCAGACCCGGATTCCACGTCCCAAGCCCACACGATTTACAAGCGCAAGGATTCCACCAGCCAGTCCTCCGCGGACTCCATGGCAACTGTCGCTTCCGGTACCCCACTTCCGCCTCTGAACCTTCCTGGGCAAGCGCGGCCCTCTCGCGAGGAGTGGGGCGCGGCCTGGTCTGACGCGGGGGCGGGGCCTTAGAGGTCCCTTAGCGCCGCCGCGGACCTGCGGTACCCTTAGCTAGCTATGTCCGGGATTCTCCGGATAAACTCTCCTGGAAACAAGACGAAAATTCAGGGATTCCCAGGATGTCAGTTCCGGGCGGGGCCTGAGGGACCAAATACACCCTCGTTTTATGACCGGGTATTTGCAGATCAGAGGAAAAGGCCAGATAAAATACAGGACGCCCGGTTAAATTCCAATTTTAGGTAAACAACGAATAATTTTTTTCGTTTAAGTATGTCCATGCAATATTTAGGATATCTTATACGATAAGATAGGGGCATCCTGCCATTCCTAAGTGCTAGGCATCCACAGAGGTAGGCAGGGGCAGGCCCCCCAGTGCCTTTCTCCCTGAAGGGCCTGGGAGGGGTCAGGGTAGTGGTTTTCTCAGAATAACAGCCTCAACCTCACAGAGTGGTCATGACAGTCAAAGGAGATCATAGAAGTAAAGTCCAAGTACCATGCCTGGCCCTGGGCCGGACAGTGTTTTTACTCCCCCACCTCCAGCTCTGCCCAAGACCTCACTTCTGAAGTCCCACCCCCTAGGGCTAAGTACTGCTTCCTCTGAGATTCTCTAGTTGGTCTTCATGTTTCAGGCCTTCGAGACCAGTGGCCCCGGAGGGGACATTGTCTGCCTTCAGACTCAGCCAGCCCGAGCACGTGGCCCTTACATCTGAGGTCTCCAGAGGCTGATGGTTCTTTTTTTTTTTTTTGGCCACACTGCGCGACATGTGGGATCTTAGTTCCCCATGGGGCTGGGGATGAACCTTTTGTAGGGAATGCCCCTCCCTTCTTTCAAGATGTACATATTATATACTAGGCATGGTGGGGGACACAAAGTTAAGTCAGCCACTGGTGCTGCCAGGAAGCTCACAGACTGGCAACAGCTCCTGTTTACTAAGTGCTTTCTATGCATTAGGCATCATGCTCAGCATGTGACACAAATGGTCTCATTTAAGAGGAGAGGGGCACTACTGTTCCCATTTTATGGATGAGGAAGATGAGGCTTGGAGAGGTTAAATGACATTTCTAAGGTCACACAGCTACTAAGTAGCTAGCTTATGAACCCAGCATGCTGTCACCAGAGCCCCCATTCTACCACATTACACTGCCTTCTTCACATAGCAACGAAGTACCAGGGAAGGTGGTGTGGGATGGGGACAGCGCCAGGGACAGAGAATGGAGGAGTTGCCCCTCTGCCAGGCTGGAGATGAAAGCTGGCTTGGCTTCAACTCTGGGGCCTTGAACCCCATAGGTCAGTGGTTTACAACCCAGGGTGATTTGGCTCCCTCCCCTGTCCCCTCCCCAGAGGACCTCTGGCAATGTCTGGAGGCATTTTTGGTTGTCCTAACAGTATCTATCCATACTCTAGTGGATAGAGACGAGGGACACAGCTAAGCGTCCTACAATGCACAGGACAACTCCCACAACAGAGAATTGTCCAGCCCAGAATATCAAGTGCTGGCGTTGAGAAACCCTGCCACTGGTCACTGAGGCAGACGAGAGACTGGGAAGAGCACTGGTCAAGGTGAACAAGGTCTAGACTCTGTCTTAGCTGCTGACTAACTCTTTTCATCCCTTCTCTGAGCCTCAGGGTCCCAACAGGCACATACAGGGCACAGCAAAGGTGGACAGCTGGGGTGGGGCAAGTCTGTGTAGACTGGGGTGGAGGTAGGGGAAGGTCCTGCTGGATAATCCCAGGCTGTGACTTTAGACTGGGCAATGGGTGAGGGGAACGTCTTCCCTTACTTTTTGTTCCATGGGGTTTGCTGGGAAGGTCAGCTTTCTTTCTTCAGAAACCTCTCCGTTTGAGGTCTAGATCACAGGGAGAGCCTAGAATCGCTGACTTTCTTGGGTGGGCCTATCACACCCTGGCTGGGCACTCACACCGTAAGCCCAATGCTGGATCCAGGGGCAGCCCTGGCTGAGCCTCTCCCGGGCCTGGCTCACCTGGGTGTGAGGTGCTGGGCTGCTGAGGCTCATGCCCAGAGCTTTCTTTTGCAGGAGGATCCTGAGCAGATCATGACTCAGCTGCAGTCTCTGGTCCCTCAGGGAGATGTGGGGAGCTGTCCCCAATAGGGATGGGCTGGGGGGCTCCAGACTCTTCTTGCCCATGAAGTGACCTAGAAAGGAGGTGCCGAGGCACAAGGAAGTCAGGGAGCAAGGATCCTATCCCAGTGGGAAAGCTCCCCATCTCTCTCACTTTTCAGTTCTCATGGCAGGAAGATACACAACCTTCCTCCTCCTCGTCACCAGGAGCTACAAAGACCGCGGGTGGTAGCAAAGCCTGTACCTCAGCTTTTCCTGAGCAGGTAGATGGGGTGGAGGGGACGGCACAGCTGGAAGGAGGGTGGGATGCCCCAGGGCCAGGAAGAAACTCTGCCAGTTGTGCTGTCTGCTTAGAAGAGGGACGGGAACGGCAGAGAAGGAAGTGGAGAACAAGAGGTGTCTGGAAGGTGGAGGTGCAGAGAGAAGACACACCAGAGGTTAGAAGATTCAGTAGAGTCTTGTCTAAGAGAAGGGGCACGGGCTGGCAGGTAGATTTAGGATCCAGCCCCAGCTCTGCTTTAAACTGGCTGGGTGATTTAACCGTCATTGGGTCTGGGTCTCAAGTTCCCCATCTGTTAGATGAGTTCCAGGGTCCCCTCTAGCCTGGACACTAGTGTCCATGGCTGAGGAGAGGCCAGAGAAGGAAAATGGGGTCAGAGCAGGGTGGGGGGCGCTTGCCCGTACCGCGAAGACTTACCGGTGGCCCAGAGATTGCCCCGCGGGTGCACTCGGATCTTGCTGGCCCGGCTGCGGGGCTCCGGGAGATCCCAGCTAAACGGGGCGGCGCCGGCAGCGAGCAGAGCGAAGAAGAGCAGAAGGCCTCCGAGCAGCCGAGCGCCCCGCGCCCGCAGGGTTATGGCTGTGTGCCAGCCGCGCCTCAGTTCAGGTGCACTTAGCCACGGCTCAGGTCCCTGACGCGCGCCTTCCCTCCTTTTAAACCCGTGCCCCTGGGGGCGGAGCCTGCCCCGAAGAGCCCGCCCCGGCGCGCTCGCTGCCGCTCCTACCCCGCCCTCCTCCGACCCTCCTGTCCTCGCAAGGCCTTGGGTGGGGGTCTCGGTCAGGGGCCCCCTCCACAGCCCGCACGGCCGCACTCCTAACCCCACGTGGGCACCGTTTCCTCAGGGCGTTCGGGCCCAAGCCCACCACCTTCAACCTGGGGACCTGGGCAAAGCCGGCTCCCCTGGCCCTCCCTCACCGCTCCCAAGGGCTTTCGGCCAACGAGCGGTTCCTTCACCTCTGTGCCTCTTTCTAAGGGTAGAAAAGGGGGCGAGGATGCCTCCTGTGTAACACAGGCGTTACAGTGCCCAGCACAGTGCCAGGCACCAGAGGAGCTCCATAAAATGCCAGTTGGCCCTTCCCTCGTGGGGAATCTGACCGGGTTCACCCAGCTCTCAGCCTTCTCACAGCCGGCACTCACCAGGTGCTGTGGAAATCACAGCAGGTGCTCAGGGTAGGAGTGCAGAACGATGGATGGCCGAGCCCTCCCCTCCCCCACCCTCCCCCCACAAATGGGCGCCCAGCTTGGGAGAGACTGGCTTATCAGTTGGCCAGGAGGCAGATCTTTGGGTCAGGGGAGTGAAAAGAGCACTGGCCCAAGAGTCCGTATACAAGCTGTGTGACCTCACTGACCCTCACCTTCTTCAATTGTAAAATGGCAATAACCACATTGCCCTATTTTTAAGTTTTACATTTTTTAGTCCAATTATTTTGTGGCAGGAAGCAACAGTCCTCCTCCAAAGGAGCTGTCCAGACTTGTCTTGGAAATTTTGGGTCAGTGGCAGCACTTAATGAATAGAAGACACTGTGCTCCAAAATAATACATTTATTTTTGCTTAAATGTTTACTAAACACCAATGTTCAGAGCACTATGCCAGGCACAGGAGGGCAGGGACACAAAAGATAGTGCCCTGCTCCCACAGGAGTTTACCATCTCATTAGAGAGACAGAGTACAAAAGGAGTGAATGATGGAGGAGCAGGGTACTGACCAACCCCTGAGCCCTGGACTCTTCTCAGAAACACTGCACAGTGTGGCTGTGACCGAACCTACTCCCCAGTCTGGCTCAAAAACGGTACTTGCTATTATTACTCTTGCCATATCTAGCTCAGCAAGGCCTGCTAGCTCTGTGGATCACCATCTTAAAAGAGGAAGCGTGTATGAGAAGCTGGTTGTCATGCTGAGCTCCCAGAAAGCACGACACACAGGACAAGGACATTCCATTTCCGGCTTTTTTCCCAATCTCCTTCTCATCTCCCACCCTGGCATTTACACCTCTCTGTACTCTTGTCACTGCTTAGCCATGGTGTACAGATATAGCTCTTATCACCTTCCCATAATAATCATTCCCTTTTCAACCCCCTCCCTCTCCTCTGCATCAATCACAGCACCCATCCTATCTTCTCTGGTCCTCGGTCATAGAAATTAGGAGGTGGTACTGAGCGCCGCCTCACTTAAATGCTTGAAGGAATCTTATTTGGTAGGTTTATCTCTCCTCATTTTATAGCTGGAAGCTGGCTCAGAGGTTGAGTCACTTGCCCAGACGTCACACTGGAATCAGACTTCGGGTCTGTTCAGATCACTCTGTCAGGCCCCCAGAGTCATCAGGGACAGATGCTGCTTTCCCTAAACCACACCCACTCCCGTTTTACTTTCCCATTTAAATATCAAGTTGGTTTAGATTTCTCAAGGGGGAGAGGGAGCAGGCACTGAGAGTTTCATCTCTCTTCTGCAGGTGACCCTGGGACCTTGGTTCTGCTCTGACAGGTTCATTTATACTTAAGCAAGCCTCCCCTGACATAGCCTGCACTCGCAGCTCCAACCACAGCTGTGAAAATGACCCCAGATGCCCCTAGGATCATTTTATCTGTCAGCTTAGCACAGGAAAAAAGGGGCCTCCGAGGACCCTGGGGAAAGAATCAGGGCAGCAGCTCCACAGCCAACTATCAAACACTGTCCCAGGAATGTAAAGCATCAGGCACTGCAGAGAGGCGGGCTTGCCCAAGACAGCACTTCCAAGTCGGACCCCTCATGGAGTGCTAGGCTGAGTTTAGAATGAGGATCTCAACTGCAGACTGCCTGTTCCCCAAGTCCTCTCTCCCACCAGGAAGAATGACAGTGAATCACATGCACGTGCATGGAGAAGCTCTTCAGAGCTCACTCTTTTTAATAAATTTATTTATTTATTGGCTGCGTTAGGTCTTCATTGCTGTGCACGGGCTTTCTCTAGTTGCGGTGAGCGGGGGCTACTCTTCGTTGCGGTGCGCGGGCTTCTCATTGCTGTGGCTTCTCTTTGTTGCGAAGCACAGCCTCTAGGCACGCAGGCTCAGTAGTTGTAGCTCACGGGCTTAGTTGCTCTGCGGTATGTGGGATCTTCCCGGACCAGGGCTCGAACCCGTGTCCCCTGCATTGGCAGGCAGATTCTCAACCACTGCACCACCAGGGAAGTCCCCAGAGCTCACTCTTGACCCTCTGAGGTTTCTACAACATTCAAGGACATTCACAGACGATGTAGAGAAGATTCAAAGGACAACCCAAAAGATGATTAAGGGGTGAAAGATACACGGCAAATCTTCTTATAACCAACACCAACAAAACATTTAAACTGCACCATGTTTTTAATTAAAAATTGCTCGAAATAAAGGACATATATATTATTGTTTGCTATATTTCATTAAATTGGAATCAATTACAAATAATGTCTTTTCACAGCTGAATCTTTTTTGTTATTGTTTTCCAAAAGCACTTACATGCATGCTCCTTTGATCACCAACACTATTTTGATGTAGTAAAGACTAGTATTATGCCCATTTAATAGATGAGTTAACTCAAGTAAAAGCAAGTTAGCTGCAGACAAACTAAACAAATGGAGAAAACCAGAGTGTAGACATCAAACACATGAAAGGTACAGAGGACAAAAGAAAACAAAAAGCAGAAATTTAAATTAGACATAAATGAGCCTAGAGAAAAAGGATGACAAACCTATTAGAGCTGCTCAGGATAGGATGGTGTAAAAACACTCTTCTGGCAAACCTCTGAGCACAGATCCCATCTGTATGGGTTGCAGAGAGAAAGAGAAATATCGTGGGGTATCTCAGGTCCTGCTCTTTAGTTTCAGAAAGGGGAAGGGGCTGTAGAATCAGGAGAAGAGTGTAATCTTTAAGAGAGGAAGAAAAGAATCAGGGATATTTGATGCAATTTCGCAAAGTCAGAGGGAACACATAGGAACTAGCTAGAATATCAGAACACTAACCATTGATAAGGAACTATTTCAGAAACTTAAATTGCCAAAATACAAAAAAAACTTTTAAGGCAATATTCAAAAGAAAAGAGAAGATACATCTAATGAGAAAGTGATGACGATGCCAACAGTGGCTAAGCTAAGCAGCTGCTGCTCAGCTAAATGGCATAGACGCTCAGGGAAGTTATGAAAACCTAACGAAGTGAGAAGCCCTAGGCCCAGCATTCATAAGATTATTTGGGTTTAACAAGCAGGTACTTCAGGGAGGCATTTCAGTAACTGAAAGAAATAATCTTTAAACTCCGAAGAGGTTTAAATGCTTGGTAATCTGCCTGAGAATCTCCCTATTTCTAGGAGATTTACTAATCTGAGCAAATCGATGAAAGAACCACCTAGGGCTTCTAAAGAAGAATACCCAAGGGCCTTGCAATTGTGGGGTTTATTCCAAATAAAAGAGTCTCATTAGATTTTACAAAGGTAGAAGAACTGGGTATGACACCCAGCATTGTGAGGTGATAAAAGCAAGACTTCTGGCTCTGCCATCCGTGGACCAGAAGATCCTGGGCAAATCTCTTAACTTCTAGTTTCTCTCTTTTGTAAAATGGAGTTATTCTGAGGACTAAAGGGGAAAAAATTAAAATCTGTTATAAATTCAAAAGCATTTAGCAGAGCACTGGAAACTTCTAAGTACTCAGTATTATTAGCTGGATCCTAGGAAAAGCAAAGCCTGCTTTAAATCTGAAGCCCATTACAGGGAAAAAAGATTCCCTGGATAGCAGCTAAGACCATGGTGTTGACACAAGTCAACAAAATGCCTTGGCAAAATGCCTATTACATTGTGACTCATTTGATAAACTAAAATGCTGGCGTATCCACCTCAACTATTGACCAATTCCAAGAAACGTGTTCTATACAGCATTCTCTCTCTTTTCTTGCTTAAATAAGTTGTCAGGCTGACAACTCTGATCAAAGCTTCATGCTAGCTGATTTACTTCCTTGCCTGATCTAAGTCCTGAGTACAAATTATTTTAACTAGACTCCTTGAATTAAAGCTGGGATCCAGCTTAGCAATCTAAATAAACCGGCCAATTAAAGTAAGGGTTCTACAGAAATGATTCTTGACGGAGAGTAGGTGGCATTCCAGAAACTCCTAAGATTAGTAGAACAAGGATCTATAATTTGAAAGTCATATTGAATATAACTGTATATGAGAGATGAGTAACTAACGTTTTTATAATGCAAACTTAAGAAAAAGCAAGATAAAATATTCTTGGCTGCTAAGGATAAGAGGTTGGATATAACAGACCTGAGAGGAGGTTTACCAGAATGGAGAAGAGGTATGAAATTTTGTTTCTTATAAAAGACCATGAAGATTAAGGAACACTGTTCTACAGGAAAACTAACTGAAGGTTCCTGGCTGATTAGATGGGTAGTTGATCTTTTGTGAGGTGGCTTTCTGCAGAAGTAGCCAAACTACGCCTATACTAAAGGAACATTCTCTGAAACAGCTCTATGAAAATCATTAGGCTAATTAATATAGAGATTACTGCATAACATTACACAGTGTCCTTG